CTACACAGAGAAACCCTGTCTCGAAAAACAAAAAACAAAAAACAAAAAAAAAAAAAAAAAAAATAAAATAAAATAAAATAAAATATATATGAACATACAACTGAGTTCTTTCATTTAGTATTTTACAATGTTTTTTAAAAAAATCTAGCTCCATAATATTTTTCTTTAAAAAAAAATTCTTTAACATATAATCTGAGCAGTCCATATTTTTCTGAAATACAAGTACATATCTAATAATAAGGTCCAAAATGAGAAGACTTATTCTCTCCAGGAGAGGGAGGGGGAGGGGGTGGTGGAGGGGGTGGTGGGGGCAGGGAGTATGGTAAATTAAGCAAGGGATGAGAGGCCATGTTAGGTGGAGCCCACCCCATGCTTACAGATGGGGGTGGGGGTGGGGGAGGGAGTGAAAAGTTATGCATATCAAACATGGGAGGGGGATAGGGGTAGTGGGGCAGGACAGGATTATCTTGTCTCTGAGGTGGAAACCCCAAAGTCTTTTGAGATGCCATATGATCTGACTTATACAACTGCTGAGGCGGAGGCCTGCTGTGGCTTCCTCGGGAAAACCGACCCCTGGGAAAGCCTCTGGTAAATTCTCTGTTGTGATAGCCCTTTGAGTACTCTGAAGAAGAGCCAAAAGCATTCCAATTCTGGTGCACTTCCCCACAGTCTTCACCTTTGATGGAAGAAACACATAAAAGCACAATTAAAATTCGGTTTATACATCCAGATCGTTGTTAAAAAATGATTTCCATTCTTTAAGTTACTAACATGACAGAAAACTCAGTTTTAAATGAATTAAAAAGGCACAACTTAATGCTTAAGGATTAGGAAAGGCCACCAAGACAGAAAATATTTACCAATAACTGCATCCAAACACCACAAAAAACCCACAGCACCAATCCCACCCACACTCAAGGCTAAGAAAGGCTGTATTCCTGCTTAGCATTTGTCTCAGAGAAATGAAAATTTATTTAAAAAAAAAAACCTGTACAAACATATTTATAGACAATTTATTTCTGAGAAAAAAATGGAAATAAGCCAGATGTTCCTTAGTGGATAAGCAGTTAAACAATTCATGTTCTAATCAGCCCACAGGACAGGTCTCTGTAAAGAAAGAAACAATCTACATATCTAGAAACCTGGATGGATTTCCAAGAAAGAATGATCAGCAGCAAAGCAAATGTGTGATTTTAAACGCTCGTGTGAAACACTACAGGATTTTATTTCTGTAACACTCCTGGAACGATCACATTAAAGAAATGGAGAACAGCACTGACAGTGAGACCCGGGCAGAGCACTTGCACATGCAAGGCCATGAATTTGATCTCTAGCATTACAAGACAGACAAAGGGGAAGAGGGAGCAGACACACACACACACACACACACACACCATACACACACACACACATACACATACACACACACACAGATGCTTGTCATGCTGAGGTGAAAAAGATGTAAACAGTCACAACTAGAAAGCAAATGAAGGACTAGGGACTAAGGAACATTCTCTTCTGGTCACAGAACTATTAAGCCTTGAGGATATTATCTCAAATAATAATTCCAGGTGTAAGTTTCAAGTTGCAATTGAAAGAAATAGGGTAAAGAGTATATAATAAACATATGTGAATCTACAATTATCTCAAAAAGTTTAATTTTTAAAAAAGAAAACAGATTATAAGAGGGAAAGTCAAAATAAACAATGTGATTTGGGTGCCACACTACTGAATTCTAAACATGAGCAAATCTTTTTTTTTTTTTTTGGTTTTTCGAGACAGGTAGCTTTTGGAGCCTGTCCTGGAACTCACTTTGTAGACCAGGCTGGCCTGAGATTCACCTGTCTCTGCCTCCCGAGTGCTGGAACTAAAGATGTACGCCAGTACCGCCTGGCTGCAAACCTATTTCTTAAGAAAATCACAACAAGCACAGCTGCCTCTGTTGGTTAGGCTGCTTACCCTACAAGACAACTTCAGATCATCAAACAACCCAAATATTCCCAGAGCTCTCAATATAGCCTATGCTGTGTAATGCCTCCAACAGGAGGCGCATCAGGAGATAAACAGAGAGAACCCAGATGTTTTCTTTTATTTTTGCTTACATATTTGTACATGAAAGCCAAAAATGACTATACAGAAACAATATACTCACTTGACTCATTCAATTCTGATTTGAGTTTTTTCCGCCCTTGAATCTGAGATTTCTTCCTCTGTTTGGCTTCTTTTTCTTTTTCATCATCACTGAAATCCAAGGCCTTGCAGATAAAAGTAGAAATTCAAGTATCACTTGTTTGCCAATGCAACAGTAGGCGCTTGCAGGTGAGGCTCAAACCCACTAACCATGAGAAAAGGTTGCTCATTTCAACTAATACTTCCTATTAATAGGTGGATTAGCATCTACAGTAGTAATAGAAAAAAAAAAAACTAGGTTGTTTTTGTTTTTTTAAAGATTTATTTATTTATTATGCATACAATGTTCTGCCTGCATGTATGTCTGCAGGCCAGAAGAGGGCGCCAGATCTCATTATAGATGGTTGTGAGCCACCATGTGGTTACTGGGAATTGAACTCAGGACCTCTGAAAGAACAGTGTTCTTAACCTCTGAGCCATCTCTCCAGCCCTAGGGTTGTTTGTTTTTAATCCCTAGTGAGTTTAATAAAACTAGATACTCAAAATTTGCCTTTAAAATTCTTTGCCTATTTAATTCCTAGAAAGCTTCAGATAGATAAATAACTTTAAAATGCAAAAAAAAAAAAGAAAATGAAAAAATCAGCAATCTTAAACACATTCCCTGGCCTGAAGTCTAACTTCCTGTTTAGGTTTAAGATTCATCACCTTTCCAACTGCCAAAGAAAACAGTAATGAAGACTAAGCTGTTTTTATACACATAGATATCATTCCATGATTTGTTCACTCAAAATCAGACACACATCTTGTCCATCAATCTTGTCATAATCTCAAATTTCATTCTTTACAACGAGCAATACAACAACCAAATACCCTGATTTTGTGCTAAGGAGTGTGGGGCTGGGTAAGGAGAAAGCAGAAAAGGTAGACTTCTTGGCAGAACAGGAAAGAACATGCACACAGTCAACAGAGCAGAGTATACAAAAGAAAAATGCTCTGTAAGCAAAGCATGGCCTCTCTTCCCTATGGCAGAATCACAACACTGCAGTGTGAGGGAACGGCCTTCTATCATTTTTCTTATACAAATTCAATTTTGAATTCATGGAATATTTAAGTCAACTATAAATTTTTCACATATATACTAAAATTGTAGATAAAGATGAGATTTAAATTAAGAAATCTTTAGGTCTTTTATGCATGCCCAGCATTTTGTCATGGGATAAAAGTAGAGAATTCTTCTGGACTGTAAAATATCATTAACAACTATATAAAATTAAACCCCAACATTTTTCATGAGGTAGTCTGCCACCAACTCCTGCCCCGACCCCACCTCAAAATACCCATAATCTTATAGCATGTGGGATTTAATTCTGTAAAAACTAAATCAAATCAAACTAATGTCACAAGAACTTAACACTACCAAAATTATTAACTTTAATCCTCAGGCCTAAAATGGGGTTTAACAATTGACCAATTTTAACAATGACCAATTTTAAGATCCAAATACTTCAAAACATGCAACTTCATTATGAAGATGCTCTAAGCATAACAGCACAACAAAATGTGAGTAGTTATTAATATCAAAATCACTAGCTAACATTTCAGTAGCTACCAAGACAGACTACTCCCTGAGCTAAGAGACTCGTGCCTGTAAAATCTCCTTAAGTGGGCATAAACCTGACTCACACCAGGATTTTCAGCACTGTTTGAGATATCTGAAGTATTCAGAAATTAAATCTTCAATTAAATCAAAGCCACAACACTAAAATCTTTAGAACACCCAACTCTATATCACCAGGAGTGGGAACAAATGATCCTGACATGTTTGTGTGCAATTCCCAAATGAATTACACAGCTCCAGACAGATTCAATTATTAGCCTACCTTAGGAGATAAAAGTAAGGCCCCAGTGACATGAACACAAACATAAAATCAAGAGACAGAGTTTCAGAAGAGTAAGTCTGTTACACAAACCTTAGAAGTAGAGTCGGTAGCTGCTCATGACTCTACCCCACCCCCAAAGGACAGCATACTAAAGGCATCACAGCCATCAGGTACCACTGACATTCACTAAACTTAAGAATAAACTCAATATTAAGCAATACCATTTTGTCTATCAACAAAGCTGATAAAAATGAGATTGACAAGGTGAATAAGTAGTAATCAGTTAACAGTGTGTATTATTAAGGCATGTGTTGCTCTGTGAAATTGGAAATAAAAAAGGCTCATACTAACTTCTGGAGGTGGTTCCTGATCATTCTTCCAAGAGGCATCCGATCCTCTGTCCCTAGAAAAGATCAGACTTTGTTAAGTGCTTATAGAAACTAACACAATGGGAAATTAGATGTGCTCAACCTGTACTTGTATATGGAAATAGGAATAAACTAAAAGACTATCTTTTGTGTCCTTTACTGATTTCAGATAACGCAGGCATCTTACAAGACACAAAACCTGGGCACATGCGGTGTCAGCACTGGGAAGTGAGAGAAGGCTATGCTGTGCCAAGTGGTTTTTCACGTTTGGTTTTCACTTCCAAGATTACCTGACCTTTGGATAAAATTTTGTTCCAAACCCACATAAGAGAAACATGAAAAACAACAGAGCAATTCCCTTTCTAAGGCTTCAGGGAACAGGCAGAGGCAAAGACACAAGTTCTTGTTCCTCACCTCATCTAAGAAATACCAACAATTCTCCATGAGTGATTCTCAAATCAAAGGTTTGTAAAAGAAAGACTGATGATGAGTTTAGGGAGGAGGAGGAGGAACACTGAATATTCCAAAGGATGGTGTAGTGTATCAGACGCCCATATGAAATGAGTCATTAGAGATGAAATTAGTAACTTTTGGTGGGAAGTTTTATAATGTGAAAAAAAAAAGTATCAGAGTATAATTATAATTTCTGAAACCTCATTTTTAAAATCTGTTTAATCTTAACCATTTCATGGTTTCAGCCATCTTTGTTACTCAACTATATTAATACAAATTGTTCTGACCAGATGTCCTCACTACTTTAAATTAGATCTTAAAAATAAGTGAGATTCTCTGGAATTAATGCCACTAAAATCTGTATGACAACGATACCAAGTTGTCACAAAATGAAAACTAAATTGCTTTAAATATTTCACTGCAATCTTTGACAATGACTATTTTATCATTTGGTCAGCGGTTATTAACATGCTCACCTCACATCAACCCAGCGTTCCTTTTTCATATAGTCAGTATAAGAAATAATGTGTAAGATCCTTAGTCTGGAGTTTACAGAGGTATCAGGAAAGTTCCTTAGCTGGTGTGTCTACTGCAAAAAAACTAAATTTGCTAAAGAAAAAATAAGCAACAAGACAGCAAGTGGGCTCCGGGAGTCCAATCGATGAGAGAGGGGAGGGATTTTATGGGTAAGGGACATCAAGATCATGATGGGAAAACGTACAGAGAGGGCCAGCCAAACTAGTAAACACGCATGAACTGTGGACCAATAGCTGAGGAGCTCCCAAGCTACTGGACTAGGCCCTCTGGATAGGTGAGACAGGTGTTTAGCTTGAACTGGCTAGAGGGGAGCCCCAGGCAGTGGGATCAGGATCCATCCCTGGTGCATGAAAAGGAGCCCAGTGCCTATGGTGGGGCACCTTGTGCAGCCTTGGTGCTGAGGGCAGGGGCTTGGACCTGCCTCCACTGAATGTACCAGGCTCTGTAAACTCCCCATGGGAGACCTTACCTTGGAGGAGGTGGAAACAGGGGTGGGGTGGGGGTGGGGGGGTGTTGGGGAGGAAGGCTGGGGGTGGGAAGGAGGAGAGGGGGATCTGTGGTTGGTATGTAAAATGAATAGAAAATTTCTCAATAATAAAAATAAAAAAATAAAATAAAATAAAAACCAGCAAGTGGACAGAAAGCTAACTAACCTAGTCTTGTTAGGGCTGGAACTGCCAAGGGGCTGAACTATTCTACTCCAAAAGCCAAGTTCTACACAGATAGGTATAAGGAGACATCACAATGAATGGACGCTAGGGTTGCTATAGTTCAGCCTCACTGCTCCCTTCTCTGGTTTCTTCAAATTCTTCTCAGAATTGAAAATCAAGAATAAAAAGCTGTTTTTATTTAACTATTTTGTAAGCATTTTCAGAAAACCTTTTTGGGAATCTGTTAAAGGTTACGTATGGGGCAAATATACTGGGTACCATCTTAATATTCAAGAAAGAATGAAATGACCACTGCTTAAGCATTATCTAAAATATAAAACCTTTATGACTTATGACTTAGTATCTATTTAATTCATCTATCCTGTTACGAATTCATGTAGGAAAATTAACTATACAGAGCTGGAAAAATAATTTAGGCCAAATGGTTCTACTTTAGATTCTTAAACATGACTTATCCATTATGAAGACCAAAACTTTTACCTCTGAAATAGTAAATGAAGTTTAGAACCCTGATTTAATATAAAAAATGGTAGAGAACTTCTTACGTGGTACAGCTAGTATGTTTTATAAGGCTAGGCACAGTGGAACAACCTTGTGAACTCAGCACTTGGGAGATGGAGGCCGAAGAATCAGGAATACGAATGTACCCAGCTAGGGGTACAAGACACCCTGCCTTAAACCAAAACAAACCAAACAAAAATAGTTCTTTAAACTCTTAACTTTATTAGAAGCAATTTTTCTTATGTAGTAATACTAATATTGAAGTAGTTTGGATAATAATATTTGTGATAGAAAAAAACCCAATGAACTAAAGAATTCAAAAAGCTTATAAGATCCTAGTGGCTTATTTGGGTCAAGTATAAAAATACAGACTGTCTACCTGTTAATACTGATGACAAATCACAGCTCTCAAAGACGTTCACAGAAAGAAAACTGAGCTCTCTGGAACACAGCCACCATTTAACTATAATAAACTACCATCTACGGCAGTGGCTCTCAACCAACCTTCCTAATGCTGCGACCATTTAATACAGTTCCTCATGTTGTGGTGGCCCTGACCACAAAATTATTTCCTTGCTACTTCATAACTGTAATTTTGCTACTGTTAGGAACTGTAATGTAAATATGTAATGTGACCCCAAAGGGTCAGATTCTTCAAATAGAGATGACTAACACATGAAGGACACAGCAGTGAAGCACTTACTGTTTGAGTTTTTCTGTGAATATGTACTGAGTGAAGTCTTTCATCGATGGAGCAAAATACATAGTGTCCTTTATTCTGATACCTTTACTCTCAATGTGATCTGAAGAATTAAACCGTAACACATAAAACGGATGGGCAACAGGTCCAAATATCTCAAATATCTACAAAACAGAAGACACAGAATACGTATCTTTCAATAATGATTTGAAAGGTCGCAAAATTTTTTAAACCACTGATAATTGCTAAAACAAGGCAATTTTATATATTACAGCAATAATTTTCCTTTTTACACTCAAAGTTCTCATATTTTGATTACAAATGCAAAAGCTTTATTACAAACTTTTTTCAAATAAAATAGTATGCTTTTTTGCCAATTCAAATAATTTTGGTGGCATATACTAGATGCAAACAATGAGTTTTTCTCTCCATGTTCATGACTTATATGCTACACAGAACTATAGGACGGTCAAAAATTGGAATATGATGGAAAATATAAAAGCAAGTTTCTGAATCAAAAGATAAAGGGTCAATTAATGTTGTTCTCATAAAATGCTGGCACGCTCAAGTGAAGCCCTGGCTTGACTTAGTTTCAAAGGCAGAGCAGCTGGTCTAGCGCTGCACGTCAGAGGGCAGTCAGTCCGGCCTCCTCTCCATGCTGGTGAGTGGACACATAATCCTCCGTTGTGACCTAGCACACTTCATTAACTTGTACTAGTTAAGGCAGTTTCAAATTTGTTCAGTATCATGTAATGCCATGATGGAATTTTCAAAAAGCATGATGATTCAAGAATCTCCATTGTTTCTTTTACCAATTTACCCTTGGGTAACTTGATTTTGGTAAGTGTTCTCATTTTGCAATTCAATCTTATATTCACCATCATTAAAGAGCAAAACTGCTAACCTAGCAAGGTAAGACTATTCTTATATTTATGAATAAAAATAAGCAGTTAAATATTATTAAAGTAATAAAATGAGAACATTCAGAAATATATGCTAATGCTTCTTTTAATTTTAAAAATAAAACCAATTTAACAAAATAGCAAGATAAAAGCTTTGAAAAGGTTTAGAAAAATAGCAGACTTCTTTCAACGAGAGCTGCATGGGTTAAAAGGACTGTCAGCACTACCAATCTCACTGGCTTATACTATATGTGTCTTGAGTAATTCATTATCTTACCTTCTTTAGTAATTAAAACACAACTTCCTGGATAAACATGTTTAAGACAGTGATAATCTACATCAAAGAAAATTCCCATGACTCCACTAATATAGGGTAACCAGTGTATTATATGGTTCCATGTAATACATGGTACATAAGGCTCATCTCCAGGGTCTTATTCCCTGGATAATGTGATTCCATTTCTTTCCTTAACTGTGGACTCCTATGACAACTTCAGGCCTATGCAGAGCTTGGTTTGCACTGTAACAACAGAAATTCTTGCACACATTTTAAGGAACCACTTCCTTGGGATCTGAAGTGTCTGTGCTTCACAGCTACAAGTAAACCATTAGGAAGTTTTAGTAAAAAAGTATCACCTAGCAAGTGCAAGGAAGAGCATGACAGACTTGGCGTGCACTGGCAGGCATTCATAGTCCGACCTCAATCACAGGGAAACGTGGCTGAGTTCAAATCAAGCAATTTACCTAATCAGAATTATTTAAAAGGATATCCGAACATTGTTTCACAAAAAACCCTTACGATCCTCAGAGTGTAGCTCTGAGGCTGAGCAACACCTGGGGGTGAAACTGAAGAGCAACCTCTGGGTAATGCACCTTCTCATACAGTTTCCTGTGAGTTCTCTGCACCTGTGCTAACAGTCTATTCAACTTCAGAAAGTTTGTAACTGCACATCACCTAGCATGAAATGACAACACAGGGCTTTACTGTGAGAAAAGCACAAAAAGCCAAGTTCAGAGGAGTAAGAGCAGACATTTACTCTGAGCCACCCAGAAGCATCTTTCTACAGAGAATCTGTGAGGAAATAACCGAGGAGCAGAAGTAAGTGTGCAGTCCCCTAAATTCTCCTCTCCCGGCCTTGCTGGACTCAGTTATCAGAATGCACCATGGCAAAGATTCTAGTGGAGGGTGAGCTACACCACCCCTTCTAGTCACTCAAGAGGTCAGAGTTCATCCATGCTTTCTCCAAACAGAAATCTACCAGGAAATAGACCTACAATAGCTTGTATTTCCTATTCTGGCCACTGGTTTGTTTCACAAATATCTAGACTCTCCTCCGCTCCAACCCATTTTGGAGGAAAGGTGTTCAAATCTCTAACTACATTCTATTTCCTTCTTTGTCTGAGGTAGGATCTTGTTCAATTCTGTTCAGACTGTTGAAGGCTGGGCTTACCTTCCCCTTTTCAAGTTTACAAAGTTCTCTAGGGAAAATTTAAACATAGATGGCATTTCTGCCTCCGTGCATAACTTTCATCTAATGCCGATTAAAGTTTATTAGTCTCACTTGTAAGTCTGAAAATTCACATATATATGGGGCATAAAAATACCCTTTTTTAAAAGATTGAATTAGCAAAGCATGTATTCTGAAATTAAAATTACCCAAAGAAAGTCTATCTTGAGAAAAAAGCAGATTTCATGAAAATCATAATAAGAACTAGAGAAATAATCACTTTTCATAATTTTATTTCAGATTAAAAGAAAAATCAAGTAACGAATTTCCCTCTCTACTCTGTTCCACTTCCTTGGGGACCCCAACAAGCATTCTGTTTTTGCTAGGGCAAAACTGGTTTCTTCTGACACAGTGCAGCGGGCATGGAGAGCTGCATCAGTCTCTGGCCACAGCACAGTCGTGTGGCCCCTCCCACTCCTTTCCTCTCTGCACCCTAAGGTTGTTTTCTCCCCAAGTGTATGGAGATTCGCACTGGCACCAAGAACGTCCAGCCCAAGTTTTCCAAGGAGGAAAAGCACAGCATCCTCCTCCACACACCCATCTCCTCCCTCCACAGCCTTTCCCCAAATAAAAACAGTTCTCAACGGCAGTGAGTTCTGCCACTGACTGCTTTGTGATACCTGCGGGAAACTAGCAGCCAAATCAAACATAACGTAGGTGGTGAAAGGTGGCAGGACTTGGTAAAACTTGATCCTTTCTAAGCTGTTTTAAAATTAAAACAGTATGGAAAGCAGAGAGCTGAGAAAGGTATGTGAGTTCACCTAAGAATAGTTCCTTCTTCCTGACTGAGTGTAACTCACTTTGATCTCCTGAAAGAAAAAAGTTCATCTGGGAAGAACTAACTTCCAAAAGCATGTTTTAGAGAAGAACCTAAAATCTGAAGTTTCCAATTGACTAATGTACAAAACAAACATGATAGCTATGACTACCCTGTGGAAATCCTACTCACTCAGCTCTGAGTCCCTGTGGGGAGAACAGCAATGTCATACGCAGTGTTTAGAACCTCTGTCCTGAAGTCTCTGACAAACAAACACTGAGGAACAAAAATCTCCACATGTGAATTCACTGATCCACGCGGCCAGAATTCTAGGGGACAGTAAGGCAATTTAAAACACACGAAGAACTGAGAATGACTTAAAACTTGATGACTCGTCTACTCAAACTCTTAAGACAAACAGGAGAAAACAATACAGAAACGATGATTCGTATGATCAGTTTTCACAAACCTTCCCTGCTGCTTGTCGATCACTTTTGAAAACGACAGTCTCCTCATTAACTGGAGGAATGTTAGTCAGAGACTCAATTATTACTGAAAAACAGACAAAGAACAGGTTACGGCTTACAAAGAAGACAGGCCATCATTTAATCACAAAAATGTCCATCATAGAGCACTGGAATTTGTTCTTACCAACTTTTGTTACTGACAAACAGAGAGGGTGACAACAGGCCCATTGTAATTTCTATCACAGACCTTTCTTCAAAAGAAGCAAATGCACAGTATGCCAAGGGTTTAGTGAGCATAATCCCCAATTCTTGTAAATGATAGATTATAAACTGGTCTACACAGCAATATGCAACACACATACACCACAGTAACACAGACTATCATACTATACAGATAATGCCATGGTCACTGGAAAGGGAAGCTCATATTATTAAAAGTAACTCAAATTTTTTCTTTTGTATCTCAATTTAGTGCTGCAATTAGTATATCTAAGTTCTAAATATAATTCCATGATGTCAAATTCAGGAGACGTCACACATACACACAGTAAATAAATAAAATATAAAGAAATATATATCATGGAACAAATGTAAATGCAGTAAATGTAGCAACAGGATCTAAGTATCAGAATTATTTTTATAAAAACAAGTTTTTACTTTAATCAAAATTTAAGTCAAAATACTACAAAATTATGGTAAATACTAATTTTTAAAAGTATTGATATAGCTGTTGTTTAGAAAAGGGTCAAAAGGTAAAATTTCATTTCAACCCCTTATACAACAGATTGGGAGTAAGACTTGAATTCTGTGTTACATAGGTTCTATAAATTAAGAGGGCTTGTAATTTAGTTGCTTTCCCAAATTCCAAAACCCTATGGATTTCTCGGCTCCTAACTGTAGTCTTAGATTTATCTCATTGTCAGAGTTAGTGGTTGTTCTTGGTTGACTACCGTAACTTTCCCGTCACCAGATCCAATTGCCAAAGACTCTACATACTATGGTTGCAGGACAGAAAAATTAAGCCATATTCAGTGGGCTGTGGAAGGGAAAACCTCTTGGTCCAGGGCTTTGTAGGGTCAATCGCTTTATCCTTTGGTCGTTCATCTTTCTATGAAAATCTGCCAACTTCTGTCCTCAGCAAATCCAGGGTTAATGGGAGAGGATGGAGTTCATATTCTTGAAGGCAAATCTCTATTACCCACACATAATACATAGTTACAAAGAAGTACCAGTTTCCATGCTTTCTCATAGCCAAAGAGAAGAGGCATGATATGAGGCTTCCTCATGCTCAGGAGATACTGATTCTACTGTCCTGGCTGATTGTGTACTGAACCTTTCCATGGGATAGGCAAAAACAGATCTAATGACGGTAAAAGGATCACACAGAGGATAAATTCCTGGCTATAAGAATGAAGAAGCTGGTGGTGTTGGCACATGCCTTTGATTTGATCCAGCATTCCAGAGACAGAAGCAGGTGAATCTCTGAGATTGTGTGGCAGCCCAGCTAGGAGACCAGCTCCCACATTTTATGATAAGGTACTATTGAGGAGTGAGGAATAAGAGATATTAGATAGAAAATTAGAGGGAAGAGAAACAGAAACACAGGATAGCCTTGGGAGGGCCTGAATCATTATCCACCAGCCCCTTCTGTCTCTTCTAAAGGGCTATTTATAGGAATGCCAAGGGGTGGAGCAAAAGACCTCCCCCTAGCTCAGCCAAGTGCAGACCCTTCCAATCACCTGGTAACCATGCATGTGGTCAGGCAATCCTCTAATGCAGCCCTGCTGGGTAAAGCAAGCTCAGATCTCACTAGGAAACCTATGTGGACCTCCACAAATTTGAGGCCAGCCTGGTCTACAGAGTGAGTTCAGGAGAGGGCTATACAGAGACTATGTCTCAAAAAACCAAAGAAGAATGAAGAATAGAGACATGAGACAGGAAACATGTAAGTTGAGTTTAGAAACCAAAAAGGAGCAGAAAAGGAGATCTTCCAAAGAGTCTAAGAATAGGGCTCAGCATTCTTGGATATCTGATTTTAGCCTACTATGACCAGACCTGTATCAGACTGCAAAGTTCACAAAGATGTTAGATAGGAAATTTGTGCTGTTTTATGTCATAAAACTTTTGTCAACTTGTTACAGACAATAAAGTAAACCAAATCAGAGAAAATTCTCAAAACATGGCAGCAAAGACAAAAATAAATAAATAAATAAATTTAACTAAAAACTCAATATTATACAAGTGACTAAGATAAACTGTATTTGTTTCAAAGAAAATTTACTACATCAAGTCCTTGACTTATTGTTAGTACATGCCTGGACACAGATTTTGTTAATAAAAGTTACTTACACACCTAATTGTTCAATAATGCTTGAAACCTTCCCAAGAGGCTTTAGTTCAATGTCTTCTGGCAGAGTAACAGTGAGTTCTTCAACAGAAGGCAGTTCCTATAACACAAGGAAAAGCATTAATCGTCTTCCAGCTTCAGTAACTTAAAAAAAGAGAAATATTTCCCATTTAAACTGTGACACAGATTGTTAATGATATAATATTAAGGGCTTAAGGCATTCCTTTGATGTTTCCTATGCATAGCTGATTGAACTTCTGATTACATTTCTGCCACTTACGTGGCTCAGTAACTCTAAAATATAAATCCAGTGAGATGAAGAATGTAGACTTAAGTACTATCAATCACACTTGACAAGAGATGACCTCTTTAAAGAAAAGCTTATTAAGGAATCCAGAGACATCCCAATTGAAGAATCCTACTAAGAACTACAATTTCTTCCACAGCAGGAGAGCTCTCTCTTTGAGCTGTTTTATTAATTTGTCTAATTAATTAATGTGACTTTAATTATAGTAGAATAAACCATTAGCAATCTTTCCTGTCACTATGTGAAGAGTGTAAGTCTGACAATGACATCAATTAAAGAGACTTCTTGGAAATAGATGTGGCCTGTAAAAGCTAAGAAGGTGGTGTTACTGCATACCTTCTCTTTACATGTTAAAAAATGTTTCTCAACACCACAGATTTCTTTTTTGACCCAACTGTAAAGCATACCTCAGTTGTTATAGAAACTAAATGCTGAACTAGGGGAAGCAAACGCTAAGAATAAAACTGACACTAGCTTTCCTAGTAATTAAACAGCCTTTTGCTCTTGACCCTTAACCAATGATAATCACTCCCAAAGGAAACTGGAAAACTCAAAGGCCCTGGCAATGACGTCAGTGGTTATTGGTGGGATAATGTTTGGAGAAATGTTGAGAAAGATGAGAAAAATCTAAATAATACAAAGTATAACGCAAATGAGTAGATTCTGGGTAATAATTTTTCCCTGCAGTAACTTAAGTTTTTAAAAGAAAGAATCATTATAGTAGCTTTATTCATAATAGTCAGAAACTGGAAACAACCTAGATGTTCCTCAACCAAAGAATGGACAAAGAAAATGTGGGGATGTAATATATGAGAAAAGAATGAATACATTAGAAAAAAGGAATCATTTTAACCATTTATTTAAAATATACTTTCCTTCTGGGATATGCTAATTTTTTTCTAACTCAAAGATTACTTACAAAGACATACACTAAGGGTTGCAGCCAACTCAATACAACAATTTGCCTCAGCATGGTTAAAACATGCCTAGGGTTCAAGGAAATAATCTCGTTTCAACTGTCAGATTTCTTCTGAATATTTTTTGGGAGGACAACTACCTGCCATTTTTGAAACTTACTAATTTTTTTTTGAGTATGCGTTTTCTGTACATGTATGTCTATGTACCATGTGAATGCTTGGTGCCCAAAAAGACTAGAAGAGGGCATGAAATCCCTGGAACATGAGTTACAGATGGTAATGAGTCACCAAGTGGGTGCTGGGAGTTGAACCTCTCTCTTAATGGCTGAGCAATCATTCCAGCCCCCACTCGCCATTTTAACACAAGACAGAAGGTTTTCTGGTAAGATCCTGCTTTGAAGGTGTTAGCATATATATCAGACACCAAAGTAAGTTCTAATGGTAAAATATAGGTTCATGTTAAAAAACAAACAAAAAACACTCTTTAGTAGTACAGAATACAAAGTAAAAAACAATTCCTGACCTTATCCTTGCCAACAAGCCACACCAGTTACTATCATATCACAAGCCTGTGTTTCCTTCAAATACATTCACTATGCAGATACGAGCTTTATCTAACTTGACACTTTTCACTCTCCTGAAATACCCCTGCTGCACACCAGCATTTCTTTTAAAGCCTGCATATTTTCCTACACTAAAATAAGTATCTACCCAATTGTACTTAACACCTACTACATGGTCTGCAGAGGTGTGCCATAATCTACCACAATAATCATGTAATTATTTATGTCTTCTCAAAAAATCTTTGTCACACATGTTTTTACATGACTTTTGTGGTAAGTAGACCTCTTATATTAAAAAAGAAGTATTTTATATTTTGACACAGACTTGCTAAATTTATTCTAAAAAACACTATCGATTCACACTTCCTACACTGTGCCATTACTGAGAAGCAAACTAAAAATCACTGCCAGTTGATATAAAATAAAATAGTATCTTGCTTTAAAACTGTTTTCTTTGAACTTGACTGATAAGACTGAATATCCTTACCATATTTCTTGGTGATCTGCATGTGCTTATGAACTGCACATGTAATTTATGCAGTCTTCTTCTGAAGGATTTCTGTTATTGACTTTTATGAGAACTATGGATGTCTAAGAACACTTTTCTTGTTTCAAATACCCAGCAAATATGCTCCCCTTGGCCCTAGCAGTTTGTTTGGTACACATCTGGCACTTCTGAGCTGTATTAAAACTCCACTGGCATTTTCTTCACTTTTCTAGTTTCAGGAGTCAATATTTGTTTATTTGATCCATTCATTATTTTATCCTTGTATAAAAGTAAAGCAGGGATTGGCTTTATTTTCACCTAGAACACTAGCCAGCAATCCCCACATGTTATAATCTTCCAGAATGACTTGTAAAAAGTCTTTAACATACTAAATACACTTACCTTTGCACAGCTTTTACCAAGAATCTCAATTTAGTTCCACTGATCTGTGACACTGTCAATATTACATTATTTTAACAACTGTGGCTTTCATAACATATTGTAGTATTCAAAAGGAGCTAATTCCCTACCAATTCCATCAACATTTTCCACAATGACATTTTCCTAACTGCTCTTACATGTTTATTTTACTAGGTAAACTTCAGAACTGTCATATTAGTAATGACTGAGATCACAGTTAAGTAGTTTTGTTATAAGCTACTTTACTCACTACTTGCTATCATAAATTTCTAGTATTTAGCCTGCCGACCCCCTCCCCCATGTGCTCTCTTCTCTTCCCTCCTTCCCTCCTCTTTGGAGACAGGGTCTCACTACACAGCCCTGGCATTCCTAGAACTCGCTTTGTAGACCAGGCTGGCTTTGAACTCAGAGATCAAACTACCTTTGCCTCCCAAGTGCTGGGACTGAGGTGGGTGCCACTATGCCTGGCTTTCTCTGATTCATTACAGGAACATAACTGACACATTGCTTTGCAATATTAGTGCATTATGTTTTCAGATTCTTTAGAGTAAGTAAATATAACAGTGGGCATGATGCCTAATTCTAAGAATATTACAAATGTTAAGAATAATTACATATTGATATATCTTGATAAGGTTAAGAAAATATGTAACTATTCCTCTAAGGTTAATCAACAGAAGCCCAGTGAGTCTTCTGTCTTTTCCTCACTTTGACATCATTAACACATTTTTATAGGCTAAGTTTGCTGAGTCTACAGTGTGATGAAGTCCGAACACCCTACTCTAAGGAAGGAGTTCCTGCAGGGGAGAAAATAAAATATATAGCCCCAGACTTTTCTAAGGCAAGTGTTAGTCTTGTCAGAAGGGAGTCTAGCAGGTCTCTTACCGCCTTGTTTCAATGAAAAGTTCCAACTAAATATGTACAAGATATCTGATTTCATGTAAAAACATAGGAGGAAAATAGTGATATTTGTGATTGTCACCACACTTCCACTTTCAGTTGAGTAATCCTGAGGAGCCTGTAACATGAGAATGTGTATTTCCTCAGCATTACATCACTTTCATTCATTCATTAATTTCTGTGTGTGTATGTGTTCATGCAGGCATGTGTGGAAGCCAGGGGTTGATATAGTTAATATCCTTTAACCTTCTCCCCTTGTTTTTGGAGACAGGGTATCGTAATCTGAAGCTCACTATTTTGGTTACACTGACTGGTCTGTAAGTTCCAAAACCACTGCACCCTTTATAGCCTAACACCTCCCTATGAAGTGCAGTAAATAAAGTCTCAATTCTAAATACTCTACAGAACACAGAGCAAGAAGAGATAAGTAATGGGACTAGGACCACAAAGTTCCAATTTAAGGGCTTCATACAGAGCATGCCTTGGAAAGTCAGTTAAATTTGGCTGTACATAGTTACTTTCAGAATGGCAGACATTTTTTCACACAAAAATCAAGGGATGATGGATGTTTATTTCTTTCAAATAAACAGGCTAGGAGACAGAAAAGAGGGGAAAACATTTTTCAAGTTCTATCAGCTAGAATTCATCCAACAGATATTCTTCCCATGAAAATTCTTAGTGGTCCAAGAAAGCAGAACTTAGAAAGGGTCGCATGGGATAGGTCTCTAGATAATTCCAAAGGTAAGTTCTTTGGATTGCCATATCCAAAAGAGCACTATTAAGATCCGGTCTTGATGTATGGATTCCAAGTGTCACCATTTCTCCCCTAACTACTGGATCTAAAGAACTATACTACTATCAAGCCTAGTTATTCTTCATCAGATTACTCCTTTTCCTCCTTCACAACATGCTAATATTCTATCCTTTTTTTTCACAAGCCCAATGAGAAAATAAACCCAGTATCTAGGACCTAATCAGCTGGAGCACGCAGAATGATGACCAGCACATTCATTATATATTAAGTGAACTGATCCATGTTACCACTCCAACCTAATCAAAGATCTCAGAAGTCAAGGTTCATTTTAGTCAGAGGAAAAAGTCAGAAAATGAAAATATAATTTAATACACAACCCTCAAGGAAGGAAAAACACCTGAACCCAACCACCTCAAAATAAAATAAAGCTGCCTAGGAAAGCTGACTGCCAGGAATGATGCATAGATACCTCCAGCTTGCAACAGCAAGCATTACTACAATTAGATTAACACCTGGTTTCCCTGATAACAAAGCAGCTGCCCTAGTCAGACAATACGTAAATCTCCTCAGAGGCATATTATCCTCATTAAAGGAGCCAATCACTGTATTGGGGGGGCAGTAAAAAGGTATACAGTGCCAAGAAATAAAAACACACTAACATCAATAATAGGGGGGAATATATATTGATGGATATGGCTATTTTGATTACACACAGAATTTAAATAATTGGAAAGGATCTCTGCATCAGATAA